ATCTGTGTTCGCTTCGCGTGTATTTCTTGTATTTTTCTGGTATTTTTGACGTCGATTTGAATGCATTTTTCTGTTTACTTCTATGTTAATTATTGTGGAGTAGTTTCACTGTAAAAAAATTTCTGAAAATTCAGTAGATGTTTTTCAGAATTGGCATTCTGAATCTTGTTTTCAGACCATTACTGAACAATTTCTAAGTTTAGACTGAAAATCCAGACTTTTTACTCTGAATCAGGTTTTCAGAGCAATTTGTCTGAATATTTTGAAGCATATTTTCAGACTATACACTGAATCTATAATTCAGAGTTACCGGTATAAATTATGAGTGGAAAGTCCACCGGACAGGCGGACGAAGCACACCAGTAGCTGACGCTGATCCCCACGCAGGTAGCTGGCAGCCGAATGGTTAAGGTTGCGGCTTCCGAACCTGAAGGTTGGCGGTTCGATCCCAACCAAGGGTAGTACCAAATGGACAGATATGTCTTCACCTAGGCATATCTCTCTACCCCCTCAACTGTTAAGTCATTCGCTGTGTGTTCAATTTTAACATTTTCAAAAATATTTTCATACCGGCTGTCTGAATTTTCAGACTAAGTGGTATGGTAAGGCACTACTGAAATTTCAGACCCGGGTGCAGTCTGAATTTTCAGACTACTGGTCTGTAAAAAAACTTCAGACTTAAAGTACTGAAAATTCAGTAAAACTTTTTTTACAGTGTTTGTTTATATGTGTTGTATGTTTGTGTCACGATATTTTTGAGTCCCCCCCCCCTCCCCTCGGTCTCAGGATGATGTTGAATTTCTAACTCCAAGCTTTGTAACAACGTGTGGCCTTTTTAATTGCGTCACGTACTTCCATCTCTTTTACGAATTCTCTTCTCTTTTTTTAGCCCCAGTACTACTGAATTTGAAGTGGCTGCAAGTCAAAGTAATACCTCCTGAAGCATGAAGATGCCCCGCTCAGATACATACGTAATTCTACCCTCCACTACACAGCGTCACCGCTGCCTGTGTCGGAATGCTCTCCTCTGCTCCGCTCCTCGTCGATGTGTTCCGCTACGGCTGCACCTGGTCTTGGTCTAGGTGTCGCAATGGAGCCGCACGGGGGTTGGGGGCTGTTAATGGAGGGGTCGCAGGCGGGTCATCTCCCTTACTCCACCGACACTGTCAAGATAAATGCAAAACTATGCTTGGCCATCATGTGCATGCAACGTAGGTTTGTTTTGGGACGATTGGATCCGCGACGTATAGTACTTTGCATGTCGTTATGAAATTTATTTATGCAATGAAGAAAAGCAACAGACATTCAAATGTGACATATAACAAATATTTAACTCACAAATTTCTACTTCTCAAATCACAAACAACACCAAAAGCACTACAATCAATTATTTTACTATCGTCAGAAATATATTTGTGAGTCGTTTCATCTAATTTTAGCTAAGCTGTACAGATACGTTACTGTTGCTAAAGTAGCCCGTGCCATTTCAAAGGCCCTAAAATTAGTTGACATGTCTAATATTTGCTCCTATACGGCTAAACAAGCTAACGCATTTTTTTCCGTTGCGTGAAATCGCCACATACTTATATTATCTCTGAACTCCATGTCTCTTTTTCACAGAGTATACAGGTATAACGCAGGCCAGGTGCGACACCACCACGCGAGCCGAAACAGACGGGAGGCTGACGCTTGATGGTTTTGTTTATCCCCCAGGCGGGTTGATCAGAGGGAGAGAGGGGGAGCCGCGAGGGGAGCCACGAGCAAGCTATCAGACGAACGGACCAACCAACTGGCTAAACGGGCGCGGCTTCGCCTGCTGCTGCTGCTGCTCCCTCGTCTCGGGGCGAAAAAGCCACCTACTCCTGCTGCTGCTGCTGCTGCTGCTGCTGCTGCTGCTGCTGCTGCTGCTGCTGCTGCTGCTGCTGCTGGCGAACCAAACCACATTTGGGCTGACGGACGGACCGCATAGCGAGTGGGCCGCGCCATGGCGCGCCAAGCAGGTCCACCGCGTTACGTGGCCCGATCTCAGACGGATGATTGATGTTCGTAAACAAGAACGTTCCAACGGCAAAAATCCGATTGAAATCTATTTGATATCTAAATTGTTATATAGTTAAGCCGCACATATGTGTTAGAATTAATTCAATGAATTCTTTGTTACTTTAGCATACGCCAACGCCAGCAGTGGTGTAAAAGTTCTATTCACCAGCATAGGTGCCACGCAATGTCCTATTCAGAGGGCCTACGCGCCTCTTAATATTTCATTGTTTTAGTCTACTGAATTCAGGTAAAAGCTTGCGGTGGATTTCACCGTAAGCTACAGTGAACTACGGCACTGTAGTTTACGGGGAATTTTCACCGTTAGCCATGGTAATATCACACTGTAAGTTAAGATAACGCAGAGTTCACTTGTAACTTACGGTAAAATTCAATTTATATGATTTTAGCATCGTGTGTTTTGCAAATAAATCGTGGGAAATTGAGATTTCAAAAGTTTTTTTGTTGCACATCGAAACGCATCGTCCCTTGCGGTGCCTCGACTCGTGCCCGTTATCATTCTAGCTGTCGATAGTTGCGTTATTTTTACTCCTAGGGGGACGGCAGAATGTGGCGATAGGGGAGTATGGTAGGGAAGAATCGATCAGTCTAAAAAAGACATGTCGGAAATACCAGGTGCCCTATGGCGCGTTCTAAAAACGTTATCGCTGGGGAAAAAATCAACCAAACAGGGTTCACATGATCAGAAATCAGATTAGGAATAATCTCAAACTTTAAGTCTTGAAGATAATAAGGAGGGACATGTCAAATGAGTAAATGCGGCTTAGGTTAAATTTATTTCAGTCTGTTAATCATTTACACTTTACAGAAATAATTTTTACTGTAGGCCTGCTCAGGTCGTGACTCAGGTAGCGGCAACGCGACGGGGTTTGGCTAAGAGGGCATCGGCACTCGGCAGCCGGCTCTTCGCCGTGGCATCCCATTGAGTCACCGCGGACGGCCAGAGCATCAGGCCTCTTGGTCTAGGGGTATGATTCCTGCTTTGGGTGCAGGAGGTCCCGGGTTCAAATCCCGGAGGGGCCCGATACTTTTAGTATTTTTTTGGTTCCAATTCTCCTTTCTCGCCTCCGTGTTCTCTTTTCCATGCCGCGTCGATGGTGAGGAGCCTGGTGTAGGTGATGATGGGTGATCACCCGAGCGGACCCTCCTCGCCGGCAGGGCCTCCCCTGAGGGCCCCATCCTGCGGCCTTGAACAGCCACGTGTGAGTCCAGCCAGACTGGAAAAGAATGGAATCCTAGCATACACTCGCTATTGTTTTGATCGCTTGTGGTTGGGCGCGCAGGAGAGAGAGAGAGAGAGAGAGAGAGAGAGAGAGAGAGAGAGAGAGAGAGAGAGAGATGGGTGAGATTGGTGGGGGGAAGAGCTGGAAGAAATGATGAAGAAAGCTGTGCGTGTGCGCGAGGGGGCGGGGCCCCTGTGCGGGGGGTGAGGGGGCGATGAGGCCCTGGAGGGGCAGGATGTGGCAGTTGTTGTTGTGTTTTGTAGCGTGCCCTCCAAACGTCCTCCACCGGAGCGGAGGAGTCACGGTCTTCTTCTCCTCCTCGTACCTTACATTCTCATCAGGTGGTTCCCTGGGGTTCCCTTCCCCACAGTCATACGTGACTGTGTAATGACCCGTATTTAGGTGTATTTACCCACGAGACTTATCGGGCCAGGCTAACCTCCATGTGGCGGGCCTTACAACACGTGTGTGGCCAGCCTAGGCAGGAGAGCCTGGCGCGGACCGGGTCCCGGGTGCGGGGCTCGCCGTGGACAGCCCCTTACTGAGTCAGGACGACCATCTAGTGGTGCGTCCTAGGTAAGGTCACGGCCGGGAGGCCGAGTACCTAGATGCGGTGTATTTGTACGATGATTGTTATTGTGTGAGGTCGACCATCGAGTGGTGCGCCTACGGTAAGGTCACGGCCGTAGGCCGAGTACCTAGATGCAGTGTATTTGTACGATGAATGTTATTGCGTGAGGACGACCATCAAGTGGTGCGCCTACTGTAAGGTCACGGCCGGGAGGCCGAGTACCTTAGTGCAGGGTAGGTGGGTTAAACTGTCCTGGGTTCGACTGGCAAGCTTGGAGAGAAACGCAAGGATAGAGAGTCACCTTAGTGTATTCAACCAAGATACTGCAGTGCCTGCCCTACGCACTCGGAGACGTGTCTCCGCTGAATGTCCCTGCTGCCTGGAGGCGACCACAATTTATAGGGGGTGGACAATGGGCAGCTGCTGCTGCTGCTGCTGCAGCAGCGGTGGTGGTGGCAGCTCTTCGCCGGGCTCCTCGCCGGGCTCCGTCCACCCGCCTGCGCTGGCAGCGCGCTCTGTGGGCTGCCAGCCTGTCACTCTCTCAGGCGCGCCAACGCAATGCGCGGCAAGATTCAAAACTAACTACCTATGTAAGCCAACGCGCAGCGTGGCCTTACAGACTGTTTGTTGCTCTTTTGCGCTCCTCCCCTTGTCAGCCTCACCTCCCTGATTTTACAACTCACGTTTTGACGTTTGATTTAAATACACACGACGCCCAAATGCGTGCCTCGAGCAAATAATGACTTTTCTTTAATTTCTGAACATGTGGAGTCCAACGTGGCCATATGATGGTCAAACTTTTGATGGTGAACTAAGCGCCATACATTCGAAATTGTTCTGTGACTCAAGGTGTTAAATACTAAGTGGCTGATTCACGCCGCGCACTTCTAGGTATGCTGTACCGCACGCTCGCCCCTGTCCACGGCGCCTTAGAAGCCGAGCGAGTACGCAACCCGCCTGCACCCGTGCATGCGGTACAGCATAACTACAGAAGTGCGCGGCGTGAATCAGCCACCTGGTATGTTCTATTCACGACATATCTTATCAGTGGTACTGCTTTAATCTGGGCTTTAATGAGTCTCGGTTCTAAACATTTCATTTGCACAGACACATGCCGTTCCCAAAGTTTGCCCAAATCAACATTTATTCTAAACCTGGTTAGGTGGCAAACATAAACTTCTTGATTGATTTTCTGTTCTTATCACGTTCCAATGCGGGTAACGCTAGCCATAATTCCCCGTATGCCTTTGATAGACCTAACGAATTGCGACGTCGGTATTCAGTTTGCGTTACTATAAAGTCTTTCGCGTCGTCAAGAAGTCGACGTCGCGCTGACTTATTTTTAGTCGACGAATTTCCCGCTAATTCCCGTCCACACCATACTATAATGTGGTGGGTATCAGTACTGTAGTATGCGCCCGCATCAGAACCATACATGAAGACCCTTGCTGGAGCCGCAGGCTGCCAGTACAGCATAAGCATAACGTCAGGTGTTTTCACTATTGTGCTTTGAATGTTATGACGACGCGTGCTCGGCAGGCAGGCGCGCGTCGGTTTTCGAGTCCGGACATGACAAGACGTACTCTGTATTTTCGACAAGTCCGCCGATCCCTTTTGCCATGCGCGGCAGCGCGGCCATGCGCGAATCACAAAGTGGAGTCGTGGAAATAATTTCAGAGCTTGGCATTCCGCTACGCCTGGCGTTGTGCTGCGGCGCCGGCTGCCACATCGCCGCACCCCATTCGGCTGAACTTAGCTTAATGAATAGCCCATTGAATGGACGAATGGAAGCGAACGGAAGTTGAGATGTCTTAGTGGTCGTCATACAGCATATGCTCCCAGACTGTGTAAAATGAGAAGCCTGTTCCAACCACCGTATGTAAGGGACAACCATTGGTTGAGGTACGTGCTCTACGAAAGCTGCTAGCTACCCCAACCACGGGCTGGTTTTATTCTTTGAGCCTTGGTACAACCACCGTAATTTTGATGGTTGTCCCTTACCATCCGATGGTTGGGTGAGCAGCAGCGGTGGTGGCGCGCGCCGCGGTGCGGGTGAGGAGGCCGGGAGGTACGTACTCGATCCTGTTCGTAACGCTCTCCCCGCCCGTATGGAAATGCGGCGGCAGCTGTGACGGGCAGGTGCTGCGCTGGGCTGCGCTGCGCTGCCGTGCCTCCCCGCGCCGCCGCCGCTGATATGAGAATGTTGTTTCCGGCCGGAACTCAACACAGTCGGTTCTGCGGTGTGCTCTGGCGTGGCGACGCCGTGGCGTGTGCGCAGCGTGCGGGGGGATAACCCCCCGGAACTGGGCCGGCGCTGCTCGCCGCCGCCGCCGCAGTCGGAAGTAGCGCGGTCCCTCCCCCGCGCTGTAAGGGTTGGCATGTAAGCGCTGAGCTCGCGCTCCCGTGCCTCCGGGCGGGGCGCGGGCCTCTTCTGCCGTTCTACGCAGCACACAACCAGCTGCCATATCGGGGGTGGGAGAGGGGGGAAGGGGGCTGGAGAAAAGCATGTCTGAGAGAGAGGGGGGCAGTCAGCCAACCCAAAAGGGGTTCGGGCCGAACGCCAGACCCCCCGCCTTCGAGTTGCGTCACGACAAGCAGGCGTCAGGCGTCGTCGCTCTGCCATTATTGTTATTATTGTTTTTGCGTTACCGACGCGCCCTGGCTCTCGGGTCGCACCTCTCTCCTCACGCCCGCTCGCCCGTATAGCCGCGGCTACGCGGACCAAAAGCCGCGAGCTGCGACACACAGACCAGCTCCTATTGCGCCGCGGAGATTATTTGCGCATCGCACTCGCGGCTTGACCTTGGGGCCTTCTAAGGACGCCCTCCCGGTGGTTGGCCAGGACGACCGTCCTTTCCGCCCAATTCCCCCCCCCCTCTTTCTTTCCCCGTCC